ATTTGTTTACAAGAGACTCATATTATTTCTAAAGATCAAAAATATTTGTTTAATCCCCGGCTGGGGATACATTTTATAGCTCCTGCTTTGCAGAAAAAAGGAGGAGTAGTTATCTATGTGAGAAAGGAGCTTTCACCAAGATTAATTGATTTTGACTTACAAGGAAGATATGTTATTATTGATTTACTAATAAATGATATGAGAACTCTTTTAGTTGGTTTATATGCTCCCAATCAACAACAAAAACATTTTTATAAGTTGATTCATCAGAAATTAACTTCTTTGGATTATAAGTCAGTTATTACGATGGGAGATTGGAATGGTGTTTTAGACTCAAGTAAAGATAAGAAGGATCCTTTTAAAGTTTCTAACCATGCAAGACTTCCTAAAGTTTTTTTTTTTTTTACTTAAAGGATGATTTGGAACTTAGAAATATTTGGAGAGAATGGAATACTGAGGAAAAAGACTTTACTTTTTTTTCGGATAGACACCAATCTTATTCTAGAATTGATTTTTTTCTTGGTTACTAGTGATTTCCTTTCTAGGGTAAAGAATATCAAGATATTTCCTAGAATAATTTCAGACCATAGTCCGGTATGGTTGGAAATTTCATCGGAAGAAAGAACTAGAAGGACTTGGAGGTTGAATGAGAATTTATTTAGATATGAAGAGAATATACAGCGATGTAAAGGTTATTTAAAGGATTTTTTAGCTTGGAATATGAATAAGGGTACTTCGATGCCAATGGTATGGGACTCTTGTAAAGCATATATGAGAGGGGTTTTGATTTCTATGAATAATGCTCACAGACGTAAACAGACCCAGAAACGTAAAGATCTTGAAGATGAGATTAAATGTAAGGAAAAGATTTTAATATCAAATCCAATGGACAATAAGTTAAAAGTTTCTATTACTTTGTTGAAGGAGCAATTTAATATGTTATTAGCAGATCAAATGGCAACTAATTTGAGGTATGTGAGACATAATACATTTTGTAATGCAAATAAACCTGGTAGATGGTTGGCTTATCAATTACGTAAGAAACAGAAATCGAGGATTATAGATAAAATAATTTATAAAGGTAAAGAAGTCTACCAACAAAATTTGATTAAAAAGTCTTTTTTAGATTTTTATTCTAAATTATATGCTAGTGAAAATATACAAACTTCAGATATAGAAAAATATTTACAGGGAGCACATTTTCCTAGACTTACGAGTGATCAATGTGATGGGATTAAAGGTTTAATTACTTCTGAAGAGATTATTTTTGCAATTAAACAATTGAAGGTTGGTAAGATTCCAGGTACTGATGGGTTAACAGCGATTTATTACAAGATGTTATCTGAAGAAATGATAGAACCATTAAAGGTACTTTTTAATGATATTTTATCTGGAGCAGAATTACCTCCATCCTGGAGAACGGCCTTCATATCATTAATTCCAAAGAATGACCAGGATCTGTCCCAACCTAGAAATTATAGGCCTATATCTCTTTTAAATACAGATTATAAGATTTTTGCAAAGATATTGGCAAATAGATTAATGCAGGTTTTGAAACAATTGATTCATACTGACCAATCTGGATTTATAATGGGGAGATATATGAAAAACAATGTAAGACAAATTGTTAATTTAATAGAGTATTTGGATAAGAACAACCAAATCCCTGCTGCTTTAATATTTATAGATGCTGAGAAAGCTTTTGATCAATTAGATTGGAATTTTCTATTGAAAGTTGTAGAGGAAATGAATTTTGGAGATAAATTCTTGTCTGCTCTCAAGGCCATTTATCAACAACAATCGGCGCAAATTATAATTAATGGGGGATTAACAGACGTATTTAAAATAGGAAAAGGTACAAGACAGGGTTGTCCTTTATCCCCCTTGTTATTTGTATTAACAATGGAGATTTTACTTATTAAAATTCGAGATTCATCTAGATTAAAAGGAATAAAAATAAGTAAAATTGATTATAGGCTGAGAGCTTTTGCTGATGATTTGGTTGTGACATTATCCCATCCAACAGATTCGGTCAAAGATTTGGTTGAAATTTTAGCACAGTATGGACAGGTCTCTGGTTTTAAGGTAAATAAGAATAAAACTAAAATATGTCTAGGAAGGGAAAAGATTTTATAGCTGGAACAACCGGTTATGAAATAGTTAATAAGGTTAAGTATTTAGGAGTTTATATTACAACATCTAATGGAAAATTGTATAAGAATAATTATGAGCACTTATGGGTTAAAGTTCAAAAAGATTTAAATGATTGGCAAAAGCTACAACTATCGTTATTGGGGAGAATTTCAGTAGTGAAGATGAATGTTCTACCAAAGTTTCTTTTTTTGTTTCAGATGATATCCATTTTAAAGAAGGATGCTAATTTGGATGAGTGGCAGAAGGGTATTAATAAATTTATTTGGGGCGGGAAGAAATCAAGGGTAAAGTTTAAGATTTTACAAGATGCTCGAGAAAGAGGTGGACTTAAAGCACCAAATTTGAAATTATATTATGATGCGGCCACTTTAACTTTAGTAAGTGACTGGCTCAATTTAACAAATAGAGATATTCTTGTTCTTGAAGGGTGGGATTTATTATATGGTTGGCATGCATATTTAATTTTTGATAAGAAAGTAGATTTGGTCTTTAAGTCACATATTTTAAGATATGCTTTACTTCGAGTTTGGAAAAAATATTATTATAAGTTAAATTATAAAATACCTATTTGGGGGATCCCTGGACAAGCAATCCAGGGGGTTTCTAAGGGGGTGAATTTTGACAACATTTCGTATAAAGAGTTACTTATTTGGTCAGGTACTGATTGGCAATTAAAGTCTTCTGATGTGTTAAGGCAAGAAAACATTTTACAATCGTGGTTTCAATACTTGCAAACTGTGCAGAGATGGACTTTGGATAAGAAAGTGGGAATTACTTTAGTAGATGAAAATTTGGTAATTCAGATCAAGGATCAGAAATGTGCCCATATTAAAAGAATTTATAATGAGTTAATAAAATTGGATTCAGAAACAGAGTTAGTTAAAGATTGTATGATTAAATGGGCCCAGAATATTCAAGAACCGATCTCGTTGGACTTATGGGAGGAAATTTGAACTAGAAATGTTAAATTTACGCAGGCCCAGAATTTGAGGGAAAATTTTTACAAAATGTTTTATAGATGGCATTTGGATCCTAAAAAGTTGTCTTGTATGTACCCGAACCTGCAACCTAAATGTTGGAGATGTGGTTGCTTGGATGCAACCTATTTTCATGTTTGGTTGGACCTGTAAAGTTATTAAAGCCTTCTGGATTATGATTTGGTGGAACATTCAAAAGGTTTTTAAAAGGAAGATTAAGTTTACTCCCCAACTGTTTCTTTTGGGAATTTTCGTGGACTTTAATGTTAAAGAAACTATCTTAATGTTGAATTTAATAACAGCAGCAAGATTACTGGTGGGTCAATATTAGAAGAAGGATACTCTGCCTTCTTTAGAAGAATGGGTATTTAAGGTTTCTAATTTAGCAGAAATGGCTAAAATTTCTGCTTATTTAAAGGACCATCTCTCACAAGAGAGATATTTTAATGTATGGAGAAGATGGATAGAATATGTTCAGAAGAAATATGGAACTACAAAGTTTCACTTATTCTATGAGTAATGATTTTGTTTATAAACTTACGATGTTAAAGTTTGAAGAGAGGGTTTTTATGATTTTGTTCATTGTATAATTAGTAAACTTAAATAGATTATGTTTAATATGTTTGCATAATCCTGTATTTTGCTCTGGGAAGTCGGGGGGAGGGGGGTGGGGGGAGGGGGGTGGATGGGTTGAAGTTTAAGTAGTTCAGATAAAGTAGAAATAGTCTTATTGTATATAATATTAATGTTTTAATTTTGAGAGAGGAACTGCTCGGGCATTTCCCCTGGACCGCATCAAGAGGGAGGAGAAGAAGGTGAGAAGTATGTAGGAAGGTTGAAGTGAAGAAGGAGAGGAGGTGAGTGAAGAAAAAGAGGGAAAGAAGTAAGTTGGTTTGAGGTGGGATGCGGTTTGGGGGGAAATGGGCGGGCAAGACCGAATGTGGCGTGTATCAATTTGTTTTATTTTTTATCTGAAGTATTTGTAAGATTGTTATGTATTGTAAAGTTGAAAATAAAAATTTTTATAAAAAAAAATACTGTCATATCATCTCTGAGTCTTCTCAAGACTAAACATTCTCATTCCTTCAATGTCTTTTCATGGGACTTAATATCTAGTTCCCTGATCCCTGATCCTTGGCCATTTCTAAGCATGTTCCATGCTGCCTGAATTCCTCCAAAAGCCTAGTGTCTAAAATTTAATACAGTATCTGGGATCTGGTCAATGAAAATAAAATGGAGCAACTTTCTTTCATAATTTTAAAACAATACTTCTATTACAATATGTACTCTAACATTGCAATTGTCTTTTTTTGAAGCAATGTCACATTGCAGACACTTAGTTTGTTATTAATTAAATATTTTTCAGAAGTATTATTACTAGGCCAGACATCCATTGTTGCACACTATACATTTTGATTGCTTCAGTAAACAACTTTGTATTTCTCATGTTAAGTTTCAGTCAGTCAAACAGCTAAAGTGGTGTCTGTATTATATTCCTGTGATGCAAGAAACAAGAATCTAACATTTTTTAGAAGAAATATTTGGACTGAAATGCTCCTTTGAGTTATTTCATAGCCCTGGATTTTATTTCATCTAATGGTTTTGAACAGAAAAGTATATAATTAAAACATTGCTTAAATGGAAACCCAACAACTGGATACCTAGGAAGTAAATTTGGTAATTGTGTTTCCTTTTCCTATTCTATTTTTCTCTGGCCTGTATGATATCCATTAACTAGTATGGGAGAAATTACAATTAATGTTATAAAGAGTTTGGGAAAAATATGAAAAACCTGATTAATTTAGCATTTGACACTGTCTGTACATAATCAACCAAGTGATTATATCAGTATGTATTGTTTGGGCTTACCTTAAACTCCTCTAGGATTTTGTAACTTTTCCCATGGTATTCACAAAAGTTCTTCACTTCTTTGCATTCTGGACAGCATCCATTGTGTTCTACTTTAGTACACTTTGGGTGGATTTTGGGGCATTCTGGTTGGTCACAAACAGGCCCATCCTCGGTACAAACACATGGACAGTTGGAATGACCAGGGAAAAAACGCTCCCCAAGTTTGTATACAAAACCACTGTCATCTACACATCCTTTCCCTCGATAGTCATCAAAAATCAGATTATTATCATTATTTGAAATCTGATCACCTTCATCAGCAGGGTAGTCTTCATGATTGAAAGCAGCTGGAGTGACCAAAGAAGGAATTAGCAACAGAAATATGTAGGCTTCATGAATATGAAGAGCCATTCCCCCTCCTGAGCTTCTGAATATGGTGCTTATATCAGATATGTATGGATGCTTCCATGGAGAGGCCAATGTGATGCACTGAAAACATATATATAAAAAAGAAATTGAAACATTTTTTTTTTAAAAAAATGCATTTTTCCCTACTCCTTTGCGACACTTCCATCTGCCAGGCTTTAGCTCATTAGAAAATTCTGTCTTCTATCAATTCCTAAGAGAACAAAGTAAACCAGTCCATATTTCCATCCTGTCTGCAGTAATAACAAACAGGAAAACATGCACATAACCTGAATAATCTTCAAGTTGCACAGGCTCTTTTCTGTTGTGAGGAATTGTTGATTCATCTTCATTTCAATGGCATGTGCCTTGTGCATTTCAATATTATAGTTTAAAAGTAAATAGAGCAATATTCTCACCAAATTAAAGCAAGAGTGCAAAAAATTTCCTTGCCATATTTTGGATTCAAGCTTTTCTTCATATTATACACTGTGGTAACTAGAAAAGTATGAGAAAATGTTATTCACATTTGGTCATTTTGCCTGTTACCCAAATAAGATGAACGGCTGCATCTTTATATTAGCCAAGTTTTTATCTAATTACCATGTTGAATATTTATATTGTAAACAATTGCAAATCAAACTTATTTTATTGGATGGCTTGCACATTTGTTACTTATATATATATAGTTGTTTTTGTTTTTGCTAATTTGCTGTAAATGATTCTTTTAAGGATGGGACTAAGATATTGCTTCCAACCCAGTTCAAGAGTCCAATACCATTCAAAATATGTGTTTTCATGAAAAATAAAATTAAAGGAGCCTTTGCATTTTAAAGAACCTTTACAATCAAATTATATTTAAGATACTAGGAAAATTAATCATTGAAGATTGCAGAATACACTGTATATTGTAATCTCTCCTCAGAACTGGTTCATGCTGGCTTTTTCTTAGCAAGACCTCCATTGTGCTCTCCAGGAGACTGACGTCACATCAAGATCTAGTAGTAGTTGCCCATATGTATCTGTGCTTATACTTGTATCTACCAGCTGATTTTTCTCCTCCTTTTACACTTTCTGTCTCTTTTTTAGGTTTCAGAAATGGCATTTCAGCAAATTATTACAAATATGATACCTTACTCACCATATGCAGTTCAAAGCCAGTAGATGTACAGAATTTCTCAGTAGGCCATGTCACTTCAGTTTATTATACATCCATATGTGCATGGAGAACCCATAATTCACATGTTTGACTTGAAATAGCAGGAAAGCCTTGCTGCTTTGTTAGACATTATTTTTATTCTCCTGTTTTCGTATTGATTATAGTCAATAATGTACCACTCACATTGGTACATTATAATACAAGGCTTATTCTTGTATTGCTCCTCTTACCAAAGATTTGAAGAATGATACAATAGTATTCCTCTTTTTATGAATTTGGGCAGTAAAATATCTTATAATTAAATAATTTCTAACAAAATTTATAATAAAATGCTCTAGTGTCAACTGATGTTTTGATTAATTGTATATAAAACATGCAACTACAAATTAAACAATAACCTTGCCTATTCTGCTTGACTGATACTATGGGATCAAATGGATTAGTGATTAATATTATACCAGTGTGGAGATTCCAATAGCAGTAGAATATAGTTCTTATACAAACAAATGCAATATATATATATATATATATATATATATATATGTGCATTATTTATATATTTATGTTGATTTATATATTATTTCACTGCACAACAAAAATGACTCAGAGAATCTTTGTATCTTAAGAACTAGTAAAATAATTTGGTTGACAAAGTAGGCTCTTAAAATGTTTCTATAAAGAAAGATTGTGCATTTCAAAAGCTTGCTGTCTCATTGTTTATGCACTAAGACATGATTTCACTACAATGGTAAATTTTACTGCAAATATGAGAGCCTTTCTTACAATCATAGTATTTTATTTCCGGATGATATAAAATTGTTTAGCTTGTATTTCAGATCTGAATAGACAGTCACTTGCATTCTACAGGTAGGCTTCAGTCTGCCACACTTAAAGCTGAGGAAACTTAATTTTTTTTAGCAAATTTAAAAGAAGCTATTTATTATAGGGAGAGCAGGATTCAGTCAATTTTGTCAGACATTTGGACAAAAGCAAAACCTATTTCAGAAAGTAGTACAAGATTTCCCTGCAGTAGTTGATCATCCTAAATATTTTGCTTACAATTTATAAATGCTTATTTTGATACAGAGAAAAAATGGAATGATAATGAAGTCCCTTGATTAAAAATCAAACCAGAAACATATATAATATACATTTATTTTGTTTCTGATAAGAGATACTAAGGTACTATTAAATACTTGGGAAATCAACATCCTTTTCTCTTAAAAATGTGCACTTACCTACTCAGAGTGAATGGTAGGAAGAATAATAAACCACAATGGATTCGTACTTCAGGAATGTAGTAGAAAAAAACTCTTCTTAATTATATTGGTAAGGGAGAATTATGAAAAAGATCTTTTGTTCTAAAGCCTCCCATGTCATAGAAGAATTCCAGCAGCTACTCAAGAGATGTAACCAACTGTTCAAAATTCAAAGCAATCAGTCATAAAAGGGTCTAAAGATGAGACTGCTTTATACAAAATAAGAGTCCAAAACAAAACAATAAAAACAAAAAATAAAAGTATCATTGTTCCAGGTTTTTAAAAAATCTATTTCCTTGGTTGCAGTCTTCAGGTCCATCGAAAATATTTTTTTTTTTAAAAAAAAAATCCCACCAAATCACTGTTTTCTGTATATCAGCAAAAAGGCACACAAGGGTGGAGAATATGCTATGCTTCCAGTTCCAGAAACAGCACCAGCATGCTAGAGCTCAGAGCCAATCCAGACTGAAATGCAGTCAGCAGCACCATCATGCTATGCTGCTTTCTAGAGGCTCTTCCCCAAATAAGCAATGGGGTTCTTGTGGCTCTTAATTACAATAACAACTTTCAGCAAGATTCAGTATCCTGGATAGCAGCAGCCCAGCAGCTATTCCTCCGGAGGGCATTCCATCAAGCAGTTGGAAACCTTCAGCACTATGGACAGCAGCCTGTGACTCTCATTTTGCATCATGCAGGCAGAACGTGCCGCTCCTCTGAGCAGTATCCCCACCCCCCACCCCAGTCCGAGGCATCTAATGCTCACTGGCATTAGATTTATCGTTAGGCACGTTCCTTAAGGAAAAGGTATTTTATAAAATGCTTCCTAAATGTTATCTACATCTGATGATCACCTTCATTAAAAAAAAAAAAAACTGCTGATTTTCAAGGCACTAGGCTCAGACTGCAGGACTACGTTACAGGAAGTGGAAGTAGGTAGACTGAAGCTTTCTGCATGTACTACTGAATGATTTGGCAAAGGCAACAGCCAAGGCATCTGTCTGATTATTGCCTTGTTAATGCAGAATTCCTTCCCCCCCCCCAGAAAATTACCACATTTGCTACATATAAGTCTCAGTATATTTGTATATGCATGGATATTTTTTTAATGTTATATAGAAAAATATTAAACCCCCCCCACAAAAAAATCTCTTTGCAGAGACTGTAGTAAGTTAAACGTTTTATTATTTTCACAAAATGAGACAGTCAGTTGTAGCTTTTATTATAATAATTTGAAAAGGGGTGGGGTACGGGTTTTCTGCAGTTCATGTTTTCTATCATTAGATGTCAATATAAAGCTATTTCTCCAGGAAAATGGCAAATTGTATATATTTTAATACATATTTAAAGCCATGAAGAAAGATACAAGAGAAATAAAGTTTGGAATATTGTTTCCATTTAAATAAAATATAGAGATTTTACTTAATATAAAATATAATTGTTTATTTCAGACGGTTATTTCAGATAAGGGCATTATAAGCCACTTTCAGTGTTATGAGTTTTCTCTAAATAGAGGTCTCAATTCCAAATACGAACAGTGCCATCAGAACCACCTGAAATTAGATGTTCTGCCATATGATCAAATATTACACTCTGAACTTTATCTTCATGGCCCAATAAGCTGGAAAGATGTCCCGATTTCAGTTCCAACGTCTTAATGGTTCCATCATTGCTTGCAACAGCCACAATATGACCTGTAATATAAAATTAAAAAGGTTTAGAAAATGGAAAAGCAACTCTGTCAGTGAAGTGCTTGAGATAAAAAGTTTACTTGATTTGCAACTTTCTGTATATAATGATGAACTCAGGTAATTCTGCGCTTTATTTTTTTTAAAAAGCAAGTCAAACCAGTATTAGGGGAGACTGGGGAGGGAACTCTGCCCGGAGAGTACCTTGCTGACATTTTGAGTAATGTTGTTAACATCTGCCGTGGTGTTTTATTTCATGATCTCTGTGAGTACTAATGATGTAATGATTCTCCATTTCTCTTAAAAGTTAGTTTCAGATAATAATAATGAGGATCTTCTGCTTCATTGCATGAATTTTGAACTATGAGTTAGTTCTGAAAAGTTCTACCCGAATCCCCATGTCCCCCTACCAGTTAAACAAAAGCAGTAAATATTCATCCTTGTATTTGAAATACATATCATTTGTATGCTGATTATATTTATCTCTATTTCTTGGTATCATCCAGAATGTGTTGAACCACTGTTTACATAAATGGTGAACAAACTGTCTCAACTTGTAACAGGATGGGTAAAGGCCAACAAAATGAAGATAAATTTGGACAAGATGGAGGTATACTAAGTAAATAGCTCTACTTCAAGACATCTAGTGGAATGCATCATCAACACAATCAATTTGCTCTTCATCTTAGGAAATTCCTTCTAATAATCAATCAGAATCTGCTGTTCTATAACCTGTCCTCCATTTGAGAGTAATAAGGACAGGATTTGGCTCTTTTCCATGCATTATTCTTTCAGGTACTTGAAGAATACTATCATATTACTCTCAGTTTTGTCTTTTAATATTATATGTGCCTAATTCTTTTTCAGTAATGAATTTTATTAACATTTAAAAATACAAAGCTAAAAATAATTTAATGAGAACTAAGAAAAAGAGAAAAGAGGAAAAAGTGCAGGGAAAAAGAAAAATATATATAAAGAAAGCATTTCCCCTTAATTAAGAAAGAAAAACAATTTCAGTAATTTCATATATTCCTCTTACAACCACAACTAAGCCCAAAATTTCTGTTGTTAAACAAAACATTTGTTAAGTGAGTGTCAAGACTCCCTCTGTTCAAATTGTAAGAAAGAAAACCCCTGACTCCATTGATTTAGAGAAGAGGTACTTTTACTAAGAATGAACTGATAGCAGCAAAAGCAAGGCAAGATCTGAGGAAAACCCACACGAAAGTTACACATTGAAAGTCACCCCAAATCCCTCCCCCCCCAGGATCCAAGACAGAAAGACCAATCAGCATCCAATAGGATGTTATGGGAAAGCTCCTCTGCAAATGTTGTTTGCCTCCAGAGTCCCAGGATGGTTGGCCTTGGATAACAACTGCGCTCAGTAGCTCCACAGTCCATGAGCGCAAACCACCCTTCTACTTCTCCCAGGAATGCTTCCCCATCCTAAATGCCGAAACTCCCCTCCACGTTTCCATGGCAGCTGAGAGCAAGCAAGCTGCAAAATGCACGCTGGAGATCCGGCTGACAGGTGGTACGCTACCATCCTAGTGGTAGTGGGGGAGGGGAATGAGATGAATCGATGGCAGCACCGCACAAACCTGAGCGAGAGATGGCTGGAGCTGCAGGGCTATTGGCTCAGCGAAAGTGCCAGGATCAGCGCCAGGCTCCAGCTGGAGCTCAGCGCTGATCCTGGCGCTTCTGCTGAGCCCAGAAGAAGCACCAATCAGCTGGAATGTTGCAGCATCTCCAGGGTCTTGTGATTTACATTCAGATGCTTGGCAACTGATTCATATTTATGATGGTCACAGTGTCCTAGGGTCATGTGAAGTGACCAAAACCTGCTACAACCACCCAGCAGATGGGGGGAATAAAAACCAAACAACGCCCACCCCACCCCCACTGCCAATCCTCAACAGAAATGCTCACAGCAATGAAAACCTCGGACAGGAGGAAGAGCACCGCCAGGTGGGCAGGCAGGTGTCTTGCTCGGTTGTGGCTTGGGGGGCACTTTTTTCAGTGCCATTGTAACTTCGAACAGTCACTAAGCGAACTGTTGTAAGTTGAGGACTACCTGTACTTTATCACTTTTTTCCTTTTTTTTTGGGTCATCAAGTTTTTGACACCTTGCTAGGCGACTGGTGGTACTCAGATGTTGTCATATTCTAAAAATGGTACAATGGTGAAAAGGTTGAAAAGCCCTGATGTAGATAGTGCAGACATAATAATGTAAAGTATATTTACTAAAAGTCCATTTCCATGTACCTAAAATAATACCTTTATGAAATGTGTTACCTGAATTAGTGTTCACTTTGAGCATATCTTGTCTTGTAAGGAATACATTTCATCATTTTATAGTCTACATACTGAGGGGATTCCACTTTTGCTATCCCCCCATACGTGGGGCAGATCCCACAAGCTGACACTAAAGAAGACTCCTGACACAGAGGCTTTCTTGGGGTGGGACTGCCCCGAACCGAAGTCCGGGAACTACTTTATTGATTACAATATGCAAATAAGCATTGATTACATGTGATACATTTGTGCCATACATATAATTTCTTGCTGCGCCATAAGCTTAAAACCACTCCCATTACTTAGTCTCAGAGCATGTCAAGAGTACATGTCATGTTTGACCTATATTGCCCACCTGGCTACACAAAACAAAACCCTGTGGTTAGTGCCTTCTCGAGCTTAGTTCTGCATAACATCCTGTTTAACTGTCATGCGGTTTGCCATTTGTGTTACGAGCTAGCGAGCTTTGCCGCAGACGTTTCCTCTAGAAAGGGCAAAGAAAGGGCAAGGAGGGGGCGAGGAGGGGGCTACAACTCCAACATCTCCCCTGTCTTTTTCTAATTAAAGGAAAAATCATCTTCTTCACTGCTAAGGGTTATGGCTAAAGGGTCCGGTACATCCATGGTTGGCAGTGCCTTGTACCTAACCAGGTGTATGGTCCTCTTGTCCACCATACCCTCCACAGTGCTTTATATCAGGTTTCGAAGAAGGGGAATCAGGCAGGGAAGTAAAAGGAGACCTAACAAGATTATACCAAACATGAAGGCTGCTTGCTTCCAGTTCCTAAAAATCCCGCCCAAAAATCCTCCTTCATCCACGATCCCAGTCCATTTTTGTACAGGCACATGGACCAGCTTATGGAGTTCTTTGGTCAAATCTGCAACTACCTTTCCAGTTTCATCAATTTCTAAACAACAGTTGGTCAAATTAAATTTTCCACACACTCCTCCCTCCTTAGCAAGAAGATAATCCAAGGCCAAGCGATTTTGGTAAACAGCGGTGCGCAGCTTGTCCTGAGCAGTGGCAAGAATGGTTAAAGCGGCTGAAATGCGTCGGCTGCCTAACTCAAGCACAGCCTGCAAGCGGATAATGCGATTAAGCATATATATGGGGGTCCTATAACCCCAGGACCCATCCTCAGCCCAAGTGGCAGGATCGTAGTAGGCAATGATTCTTTCGGGTGGCCATTCATCGTCCTTCCAGTTGCCTACCCGTATACCTGCATAGCCTTCCGAGGGCACATCCCTCTTTTTTCTACCCCAATTGTCATACACCGGGGCACCCAGGGTCTGTTTAGCAGTCAGGGGAAGGAGGAAAAAGGAAGGTTTGATCCACCCTAACACACAAGCCCCTGACCAATCTGGAGGCAAGTACTCGTATGCAAAGGAACCGCATACCCAATACATGCCTTGCGGTGCTGTCCAATTGAGAGAGGACCTGCGGAGATAATTGAAAAAGGTATGATTTAATAGTACAGGAGCGGACTCGTTGGTGGGGGAGACCCACTGGCCCCTTTCCCATTGTCCACGGCAAAGAAGTGTCCCAACAGGGATGGAGCCATTCCTGAAAAAGCAATTTGTTCCTACAATATTTGTAGTTAAAGTCCACACTACAGGGTCTTCCAGGTTTCTAAAAGTAAAATTAGCAAATTTTGTTTGATTATTCAAATACTCAGGATCTGCTTCATGAACCTCCCATGGCCATTGTTCCCCCATGTTGGTACCTCCACAAACAAAACAATTTTTTACACCCAATGTAAAGGCTATTTGTTCTGCAAATTCCATGAAAAGGTTTCGTGCTTTGTCAGATATTAGGGGAGACGCTTTGGTCTCTAATTTAGCTAGATGATCATAAACGGACCATTCAATTCTTTGAACATCTTCCAAGTTTTGGACCTTTATGGTGATGTGTGTCAATGGGTCTAATCCATATCCATCAATGCCTATGCCATAGGTTTCCATGGGAGGATGATTTTTTTCTAATTCTATAGTTACCTTGTTGCTATTTGGTTGTCGGACAAAGGAACGAACAAGGCGCTGTTTAACATTAAGGGGATTATAGCAGCCCCTGTAGCCCCCATTCGTGTGCGAACAAATTGCCCGCCAAACTGTTTTTTGGTAGGCCTCCCAAGCGATGCAGGGTTGTGGAAATGAAGAAGGCTCTAGGGGTGGAAATCTAGTGCACAAGTACTTGTGATCGTTGTTATAACCAGCAGGTCGATGCCCACAGCCACGGAAGGATTTTTTCGACATGGCACCGCAGACATCAAAGGTTATAGCCCAATTTTCGGCTTTAGTGACCACTGTGTGATTCACGTACCATAACCGAGCTGCTTGAGGCGGTCCCTTGACAATCCCAATGCCTGCCCAAATGGAGATGTTATACCGTGTGGGCAGGGCCGGGTTATGACACGTGAATGACAATCCTTTGGTGCAGGTCACATATTGAGTTTTGTTAAAAATACAAAAAAATTTCTGGGGACAGGGAGTTGGTACAATATTAGAATGAATCAGGGTGAGAACAGTTGACAGACCTTGTTTAACCTCAACGATGCACCGATCACAACTGGCATCCACCTCCCTGCGCACTCTGTGCGAAGGAGTTGGAGTCTGGTTCCAGTTTCGATTTTCTTGATAGGTATTGTTAGCCTTGTCACCCTCTGCAAAAGCCACCCACATAGCCAAGAAAATACATATCATAAACAGTGTCAATATTACAAAATGATATACAAAATGCGAGCAGGACATTCGCGCAGTTAGCAAATCGGTAAATGTTAGACCACCTCGAATGAAGGGACATCGCGGCGGATCCTTATAGGGAGGAGGGGAGTCTTCGGAGGACCCCCGACCGTTTTCCTGGTAGGTCGGGGGGCTATCCGGAGGTCCATATTCGGGAAGTGGTGGAAAAGACAAGGGGTCTGGTTCCCCTCCGAGGTCAGGAGTGGATTCAGGCATCATGATGTGAGGGAGGATCAGGCTCCGATGCAATGGGTGGGCCCGCAGGTTTGCAAAGATAGGGTCTTACTTGCTTCCCTGGCACCCACAGTACTCGATCAGGCAGTTGGATTGCTGCGTAGCCTCGCCCCCAGGTGATGAGATCAGCCGGACCTTTCCAAGTAGGATCAGGCAACTCGCGATAATACACTGGAGGGCGCAAATTTTTGATTGTCGGTGACTCTGGCGTGGCAAAGTGGCGTTGCGCTGCCGACAAAGGTGGAGTGCCTGTGAGGTTCAAGAAATTGAGAGAATAGAGTGCTCGATTTAAGGTATCTTGCAGTGAGGGGAGGCCAGGAGTTCTTTTCTCCTGTTCGAATCGTTTTAGCATGTTTTTTAGGGTCTGATTAGCACGTTCAACGATCGCTTGACCGGTAGAATTCCAAGGAATCCCAAACTTGTGGGCAATTCCCCATTTCTGACAAAAAGAGGAAAACGGCGCGCTGCTATACGCTGAGCCGTTATCCGTTTTTAACTCTTTGGGGCATCCCATCACTGCAAATGTACGGAGACAATGATTAATTACGTGCTTCGTAGCCTCGCCCCTTTGGGGGGAGGCCATAATAAAATTTGAAAAAGTATCAATTGAAACATGTAAAAACTTCCACGGGGAAAAAGGGGGATATTGAGTGACATCCATTTGCCATAGGGAACAAGTGGCCAACCCACGTGGGTTGACTCCCATTGGTATAGCATGTGCTTGTAAACTGCAGGTGGCACATTGCTGGATGATGGCCGAAGCCTCGGCCGATGTCAATGAAAACTGTTTCATGAGGGCTTTTTTATTTTGGTGAAAGTAGCTATGACTTTCCCAGGCCGTGAGCGGAGTCACGGGAAAAAATTGATGAGACTCTTTACCCAAAGGTTCCTTTGTTAAAGGCTCCTTTGCTGCCGCATCCGCCTTTGCGTTACCTTCTGTCAGCATGCCCGGAAAGGGCTGGTGACTTCGGATGTGGGCGATAAAAAACGGTTGGGCACGGGCATGGATTAATTCTTGTAGCTGACAAAAAAGAGCCATTAGAGATGAGTCTAATGAAGGTGAAAGATAGGACTGAAAGATATTACTAACAACATGAGCAACATACAAAGAGTCAACAATTAAGTTAAAGGCAGAATCCTTAAACATAGAAAAGGCCAATACAGAAGCGGCCATTTCAGCCCTCTGGGCAGACTTGTGGCCATGGGTGCGATGGGTTTGCCAAACACCATCTTGTAAGAAAGTACAAACGCCTATGTGGGCGCTTCCATCTGCAAAAACTGTGGGGGCAGAAGGAATAGGAAAGGACACACATGGAGATTGCCATTTCACTGGGACAGTTTGGACAAGAGTCAGACGGGGGTCAGCAGGGAAATGATACTTAACCTGTCCTGGCCACTGGGCTAGAGCAGCTTGGAGTTCTTCGGATTCCCTGTACACCTGTTCCCACAGGGGAAGTCGCAGGGGAACAAAAAGAGCAACTGGCTCAGTGCCTGTTAATTGGCGGCATCGAACACGTCCTTTGAACAACAGAGAAGCATACAGGGAGAAACGAGAGGTGATAGTTTTGCGTGGAGTGTGGGGCAAATGCATCCATTCGACAATCATCAAAGGCGATGCAATTTGGACCACAACCAGCGTGGGTAGAAGAAGGGTGTTTAGAATTATAAGAGACAAAGGAACATCAGGCAAGACACGATCAACCCATTTGACAGACAACATTTGAGTGATTAATTTGAGAATTTCCAGGTGTTCAGATGTTAAAAAAATCTTGTCACCGGGAGATTTGTGACCTTGCAAGGCTGAAAAAAGAGGTGCCAATTGTGAGGTGGTTAAGCCCATATATGGTCGTGCCCAATTAAGGGTTCCCAAAAATTGCTGCATCTGAACAAGGGTAGCAGGATTGGGAAGTGTTAATTGGGGCAGTATTGGAGAGGAATTGGAGGCTATGACCTTATGGCCCAGATACAAAAATGGTTCTTTTGTTTGAATTTTTTCGGGTGCCACTGTCAGTCCATTGTTAGCCATGTGGTCTCTAAGCTCAGCGGCCACAGTGGACACAATCTCAAAACAAGCAGAAGAGGCAATTAAAATATCATCCATGTAATGATAAAATAAAAAGGTGGGATACTTCACACGAAATGGCTTCAACAAAAAGGAAATAAAATATTGGCACATTGTAGGACTGTTTATCATTCCTTGAGGCAAAACTGTCCATTCAAAACGCTCAGATGGGTATGCATTATTAAACACTGGTATGGTAAAGGCAAACAATTGGCGATCTTTGGGATCCAGAGGGATGGAAAAAAACGCATCCTTTAGATCCATGATAATTAAAGAAAAATTTTTTGGGATTAAATTTGGGTTGGGAAGTCCCAGTTGGAAGGGTCCCATAGGAGCAATCAGTCTGTTTATGGAACGCAAATCCTGTAAAAATCTCCAATTTCCAGATTTCTTTTTTATCACAAAAACAGGTGAGTTGTAAGGACTAGTAGATGCCACCAGATGGCCCAATTGAAACTCCTTATTGACTAGCTGTTGTAATGCTTCCAATTTTTCTTTTGTTAGGGGCCACTGATCCACCCAAACAGGAGTGGGGTCTAAAAGAGTGAGGGATAGAGGGGTGGGGGCAGTTTTTGCCATTCCTAAAAGGTTAATGTGGCCCCAATTTGGGATAAAAGATCCCGACCCCAAAGATTAACTTGCAGGGGAAGGACGACAGGGCGAATACGTGCCTGTTTGTCGGTGTGAGAGGAAGTGACTAACAGAGGCAAGGTGCTAATTCGGGCCGTTTGGATGCCTCCGACGCCTCGGACGGCAGGGGAAGAGGTGGTGGGCCAGTCAGCAGGCCACTCAGAGGTTCTAATTACTGAAATATCTGCTCCGGTGTCTATTATGCCTGAAAAAGAACGATTATTTAACACAAAGGTAACAAAAGGCTTATCCGAATGAATAGTGGAAGTGAAAGCAAGCAATTGGTGGTCAAGAAAGTGCTTTCGGTAATTGTTAAGAGAGGGGTTGGGGGGAACAATCGGCTCCATGTCCTCATAAGCGAGGGGATCGAACTCCAGGGCCACCGGCATCACAATTGCAGCCAGGTCTTCCTTGTAGATGACTAAAGGAGCGTCAACAATGCAAATTAGAGCCAGAGAAGAAAAATCATCGGAGTCAACCAAGAAAGGGGAAGCGAAAACGCCGCGGGAGATGAGGTCTCTAGCCGGATAGCAAAGCAAGGGGACTTTTGTCGGCATAGAAACATCAGGTAAAGTAAGAGGAAGAAAATATGTAAGACCAGGTATTTGCATAGAAACAGTTTCGGCAGCAACAGCATGCATAGATGTTATAAAGGTTTCTTTTAAGTTAAATGTAGCCAAAGAATCAGCCTTGGGGAGAGGGCTGGCTGAGTGCCCCCCCACTAGTTTCCCTGGTTCTGGTTGTTATTGTTGGCAGATTGGGGAGGGGGATTCACACGACACAGGGAAGCCCAGTGATAGCCCTTTTTACAACGGGGGCACACAGTTTTCGGCTTGTTTTGATTTGAATTTGACTGATGTGCGCCGCCCCCAGGGGCACGACACTGTGCTCGAAAATGACCGGGCTTGCCACAGTTAAAACAGTTTCCATTTTTAAACGTCTCCCCTTTGATGTTTTGCAATGCCATTGCTAAAGTTTCCATGTTGTGGACATTGGTGCCGACGATTCGGCATGCTTGGATGTAATCTGCCAGTTCGGCATCAGGCTTGCTGAGGAGAGGCTGAATGATACGTCTGCAATCTTCATTGGCATTTTCATAAGCTAGTTTTTTTATAAGTTCCTTTTGTGCTATGGGATTCCGGATCTCTCTAAAAACTGCCTTCTGCAACTGATCAATGAAATCTCCATAGGACTGACTGGACCCTTGATAAATTTTTGCGAACGACCCTGCGGCAGAAGAGCCTGGGTCGTCTATCTTTGAAAAAGCATTTTGCGCTGCTAAACTAGAATGAGCAAATGCAGCGCGTGACATGTTCTTTTGGATATTAGGAGAAGCATAACGTCCTTCGCCGATCAATTGTTCCAATTGCAAGTTTCCCCCGATTCTTCTAACGATGGCTTCTGCTTCCCTCTTATACTCTGATTCCCATACCACAAACTGTGAACTTGTCAAAATCATGCGACACAAATTTTTCCAATCGGATGGCAACATGTAAAAGGAGTTGGCTAGATTACTTATTAACCCTATGACATAAGAGTTTTGAATGCCATACGTATTGACAGCTTGCTTAATATCCCTAATTAACTTCATAGGGACTGGTTCGATATATGGAGCCCCATTTGTGTCAAATTCTACTGGGTAGCACATTTCATATTCATCCAATTCTAAATCGCCCGAAAGTTTAGCTCTAGCCAGCGCTTGAGCAATAGCGCCGGCAGGTGTTTCTGATGTTTTCGGAGCGGTCTGAGCCGGGGCCGTGGCTTCTACTTGTGCCACCGTTACAGGTTCTATCTGGGGAGGGTTCTGAATGCCAGATTGATATGGCGGCGGGGGGTCTGAAGCCCCGACCATGGTATTCTTGTGTATTTTTAAATATTCCATGACAATCCGCCAAGTGGTCAATATTTTCGGCGGAGCCCTAGGGGACTCATGAAAATATGTTCCTAATTTAATCCATACAGATTCTTTAAGTGACCCTTCCTCGGGGTAGGCTGGGCATTGTTGATAAATATATTTTAGCAGACTGATCAGGTCTGACTTGGTGGGAACGGCCAGATTTTTCCCACCATTAAGTCGGGTCTTGGTCAATTCCCTAAGTTCGTGGAGGTGCGCAACCTGAGGCTTAGAGAATTCTGCCCCCATACTCACGAGTTTTAGGAGGGTACTTCGTTCCACGACGACCGGCCCTGAATTGCAGTAGGCGTCCTGCCGAGTGAAGTATGAGGGTACCAAGAGATGTCTAGGAGGGTGCTTCGTTCTGCGACGACCGGCCCTGAGAGTTGCAACAGGACATACACGTCTAGGAGGGTGCTTCGTTCTGCGACGACCGGCCCTGAGAGTTGCAACAGGACATACACTCGACTTGCGAGAGATGTCTAGGAGGGTACTTCGTTCTGCGACGACCGGCCCTGAGAGTTGCAACAGGACATACACGTCTAGGAGGGTGCTTCGTTCTGCGACGACCGGCCCTGAGAGTTGCAACAGGACATACACTCGACTTGCGGGTCGAATCACGTCGGGGTCACCACCTGAGGGGATTCCACTTTTGCTATCCCCCCATACGTGGGGCAGATCCCACAAGCTGACACTAAAGAAGACTCCTGACACAGAGGCTTTCTTGGGGTGGGACTGCCCCGAACCGAAGTCCGGGAACTACTTTATTGATTACAATATGCAAATAAGCATTGATTACATGTGATACATTTGTGCCATACATATAATTTCTTGCTGCGCCATAAGCTTAAAACCACTCCCATTACTTAGTCTCAGAGCATGTCAAGAGTACATGTCATGTTTGACCTATATTGCCCACCTGGCTACACAAAACAAAACCCTGTGGTTAGTGCCTTCTCGAGCTTAGTTCTGCATAACATCCTGTTTAACTGTCATGCGGTTTGCCATTTGTGTTACGAGCTAGCGAGCTTTGCCGCAGACGTTTCCTCTAGAAAGGGCAAAGAAAGGGCAAGGAGGGGGCGAGGAGGGGGCTACAACTCCAACACATACAAAGGGTAACCCTTCTATATTACAGACTCTTCTTTAAGGGAAAATCATCTATGATTACTGAAGACCAATTGTTCATATTCTTCTCTCTAAATTTTTAATCCAGTATTGTTGTCTATTTTTCTCAGCTATAAGGACACGTTTTAGTTTTTACCTTTTGTCTAAATCTATGTGTTACAGTTGGCTGGGTTCATACAATTTATTAAGTGAAAACCAAACAAACCACAGTAGTTTGCTGTTGTTGCTAGGCTGTAAAATACAGTAAAAATAAAAATACTTTGAACATTAGGAAACAAATCAATCTAATGTTTAGTAAAAAAAGTGCCTACAATATTTTTAGAAATCCATGAGTAGTTTCTGAAAGATGAGGACACATACTGTACACTACAGTTTTCACTTACAATCTGAGGTGGACTGCTCAAGGTAATTTCCCCATCTTGAAACAAGATAATTAAAAGCTTCTATATTAATGATTCCTTAAAAAGAGCCACCTAGTCTAATGTGTGGCATTTGTGAAACCAAATTGTCTATAGTAAAAGAAATACATCTTGTCTTTGTGACATAAATTTACATTTTTTCCAGTATTACTTTTAAATATCCATTTAAAAGTCTCTCTAATTGACACTTCTTGGCTGAATGTTTCTTGGAGGATTTTCAATTGAAATAACCTATTGGTTTGCCTATGCACTGTTATGTGCTATATTGTTGTTCAGTCGCTAAGTCGTGTCCAACTCTTCGTGACCCCATGGACTATAGCAGGCCAGCCCCCCCCCCCCGTCCTCATTGTTTCCCTGTGTCTGCGTAAACTCATGCCCACTGCATCAGTATAGTTATTGTACTGCCCTGCATACCCAGAATACAACTGAAGTTTCAAGTGAAAGTATTAGTTCCAATAGCTGAATTCTTGATTTTAAAAGGTTCTAATAATTATCTCAAGTTGCTGGGGTGAGATTTAGTTTTGTACAACCACCATGGTCCTTCCAACTCTGTTATTCTGTTATGTTTTATTTTTAAGAAATTATGGTCCAAATGTATATCATAAGTTTGGAGTCAAGGTACGTTTGAAAGGGATACACCAGACATCCACAATATAACATTTGATTGAGATGAAAGGTAAAGGTAAAGGCGCTCTTGAACTAAACCTCAGTTCATGATGACTTCATCCATGGCAGCATTAGAGAAGTGGTTTGTCAGTGGATTTTTCAGGAATTATTATTTTTTAACTTCTCAGCCTACCCAATAACCCTGGAAGAATCTTATTTGAGTTGTCACCAAGCCAGATTCTGTTTAGTTTCCAAAATCAGTCAACTTTGGCTAGAGGTTGTCACCTGTCGAAATGGTTGAGATATTTGTGCAAATAATAAAGGTATAATTAGTCTCATTTTCTGTATTTAATTACATTAGTGCATACTGTCAAGAATGGAAGTGTAGCATTTTTAACTTCAGTACCAAACATAACACTGTAGATTTCTGGGCTGCTCTGTTTGAAGTTTGTACCTCTAGGGTTGCAAAAGATGTAATTGTGAATGTTAGATGTCAAAGTGGGAGCTTTTTTCCAGCAACATCAAATAACTACTAAAGAAACCATTAGATTCTCACATAAAAATAAATCAAAAATATTTTTTCAGATTGTTCTTAAATGTGAGAACAAAACATTCTAGAACTGGAGTAACTAGAAGTCCTTTTTTTACAAATTCCTACTCTGTTATATATATATTTGTTACCAAGTTTAATAAAGCTATTTTCAGTGATGTGTCAGAAGTTTGTAACAGTGTATTCTGGGGAAGATGAAAGTCATTTTTATGCGCATCAGAACTAATTGTCAAGATTGAATTGCTAAGATACTTGCTAACCTATGTCACTATTCAACTTGCCAAAGAAAGAGGGGGGAGGGATACCCTGGGAAAGAAACAGGGGTTTCAAGAAGCCATCCATGGTGTCCAACGGAGAAGTTCCCATAACTAACTGAAGAGATATGATTGGGCAACATGGACACTTGGTGGGTGGGGTTATGAAAAGCTATTGTTAACTAAACAGATTTTCATGTGGGAAAACTAGAGTTGATTTTGCTTCTTCAGTACTGAGATGCGTATTCAATAAAGTTTATCTTTTATGGCATTTCAAAGCTGTAAAGATTCCTCAGTGTTGAATTCACTAGCCAGATGGTTGATATAAAATCAACTTTCATAAAGTTATGAGTGCAGCCTACTTGAAGACTTCCGAGAGAACTGAAGTGTAATGATGTCAGGAGCAGAAAAGAAGACCTAGACCACAGTTAAGCTGGGGCTGTTTCCCCCTCGGAAAGCATCTGCAGCAACTCAGCTGGACTGCAGGGCGCAATTGGTGGTGATGTAGTCCAAGGTGAGAGTGGAGAAGACAGGGAATCTGCAGGTGTGTGCTGTGGTGGGAAAAAGGCCCAATGGGTGGGAGGCATGAGAAAGGCCGCTGAGATGGAATTCCCCTTGATCCCATCAGGGGTTGTGATAACCTAGGAAAGTGAGTGGAAGACCAAGAGCACTACGGACTGAGAGGAATCAGTGGAATAGAAGCCTCTAACCACTTCCCTCGGCCCTTTGGTGGAGCAGTTGTGGGAGAAGTTTGGAGAACTGAGTATGCAAGGAGTAGAACAGATGAGACCCCCAGGTCAGGGGGCAGCATCCATGCTCTATAGGGAGAAAAAAGATGGATCATTGAGATTATGGATGGATTTTAGGGGGATTAATGGTGTGTGCATGGAAAATATGTACTCCCTCCCCCTCATGAAGGACATACTGGGGCACCTATCCAAAGGGAAGGTGTTCACCAAATTGGATTTAAGAGAGGCGTACTATTGTATGAGGATCAAGGAGGGGGATGAATGGAAGACTGCTTTTAATTGTCCCTTGGGTTGCTACCAGTTCAGGGTGATGCCTTTTGGACTATAAGGAGCACCAGCAGTGTTCATGGAGTTAATAAATGAGGTACTGCATGATCATCTGTACAAGAGGGTGCTGGTCTACTTGGATGATACTCTCGTCTACTCGGAGACAATGGGGGAGCATGTGGAACAATGAGAGAAGTACTGCAGAAACTATTGAAGGCTAAGTTCTATGCCAAACTATCCAAGTGTGACTTCTACAAAAGTAGCTTGAACTATATGGGGTATTGCATATCAAGCCAGGGGGTGGAGATGGACCCTGGGAAAGTGAAACAAATATAAGAGTGGGAAGTCCCCTGAACCTGGAGACAACTACAGAGTTTTCTGGGGTTTGCCAACTTCTATCAACAATTCATCCCCTCCTTTGCACAGAAAGCCTTGCATATTAAAGAGCTATTAAAAACAGGGAGGGGGGAGAGGAGGGCTGAAGCCCAAAGCAAGCCAGCCACTCAACTGGACTATGGAGTGTCAAGCAGCTTTTGAAAAACTCAAGTGGCTTTTCATGGCTGAGCCAATTCTTAAGCACCCAGACCCAACAGCACCCTTCATAATCCAAGCAAATGCTAGTGATGTAGCAATAGGGGCTGTCCTGTTCAAAAGAACCAGGAAGGGAAACTCCAGCCATGTGTCTACACCTCTCGGTGTGGGCAATGTGGAAGAAGGAGGCTTATGCAGTCCGTTAGGTGTTGCTTATATGGAGGCAAGTCCTGGAGGGTAGCAAAAACCCTTTCAAAATGTGAATGGACCATAAGAATAAGGCCCCAAGAAAGTTTTCCCCCAAGCAGGTCTCGTGGGCTCAGTACTTCAATCAATTTAACTTTACCCTTCAGTACCTGCCAGGGGGAAAAATTTTCTTGGCAGATGCACTATCACGGCTGCCACGAAACAAATGCTCCAGGGAGGAATTAATTAACTCAATCATTCCCTCAGAGCAGCTAACAGTGCAAGGCTCCAAGAGGCCAATTCTGCCAGCTCTCCCTCAGCCAGCTGATAATAACATCCCTCAAAAGCTGAGGGAAGCTTTGGAGGAGGGTGACTGGTTTAGGAACCATAAAGGGGATATGACAATGAAAGAAGGTCCCAAATTATATTTGCCACTCAACCTGAGGACCTGGATTTTGCGAAGATGTCACTATGTGAAGCCAGTGGCCCATTTTGGCTTTGTGAAAGCCCTCCATTCAGCCAGGAGGCAGTTTTGGTGGCCCAAGATGGGCAATAATGTAGAGAACTATGTTGCTGGGTACCCGACCTGTGCTTCCATGAAAAGATTGCCAGGAAAGCCTTCTGGACTGTTGCAGCCGGTGACTAACCCCCACAGCACGTGGGAGAAGATAGCCATGGACTTTGTTGTGGAACTGCCTGAAAGTTCTGGGAATACCATAATCTGGACTTTGATTGACCTGTTTTTGAAGCAAGTACATTTTGTGGCCTGCCCAAAGATCCCATCAGCTCAGACCTTAGCCACATTGTATGTACAGCATATATATAGACTACATAGAGTCCCAAGGTGCATCATTTCTGACTGGGGGATGCAGTTTACCACAAAGTTCTGGCAGAAATTTATTAAATTGATAGGGTCCTCACAGGGGCTTAGT